AAAAATATAGTACTTCTGAAGATGTACTACCACAAAAGCATCGTAAAAGATGCATCGTGCATGTTTAATGCAACAAAATGAACACGCATTCGTTGAAAGTGTTTTTCTTACCGTTGTCATTGTCAACGTCATCATTTGCTCGTTACAACATTACAGATTGTGTGGCATCCAAAATTGTCTATCAAATCGAAAGTCGATCGTGCATGCATCTCCCGTTGAATTGTACACACCACATGTGGAAATGCAAGTGACACAATTTCCAAACCAAAACTACTGAACGATGTTCGCTGCATGTATGCGCTTTACCGTTCATTCGTTGCTTTATTCAGATCTACCTTCTCGTTTTCTTTGTTCAGTTGCATTTTCAAAAGAGCGAATTTTACTGCAGCATTTTTTTTCTCGTTCGAGCGGCAAAATTTGCTTGTCGAAAGACATGTACTGCACATAATCAATGGATTTGACACTTTTCTCCCGAATAATAATTGCAAAAATGTTAAAGCATACGCTCCAGTCGTTTGTACAACGGACATGTATTGACAATAACATCCTTTCAACATCCATCTCCGTGTTGAAATGAAAACCATCAACCATTTCTGTGAGCATGCATTGCTGAGCGCCATTTGCAAGAACAACATGCAGCTTCCTTGAAAATTTAATGGAAGTTCGCAAGGAAACTTAATGCCATAATTTGATTACAATAAAAGTTTTTAAATTGCCAAGATGAACCAGGCTATTGACATATTTATCGATGCTTCTAGCGCGGATTTAACGCACATCAAAATCATCAACTTCAAACACTCGCTCATTTCTGTGCAACAGACAATGATTTGGTTATTTGAAATTGAGTTACGATCGAAAATTTCTGCAATGACTTTAATAAATCGTATATTACGATGATTTTATGTCGACGCCACTGCTCACATCGTCAACAGACGATGCAAAACATAATATCCATTTACGGAGAATATCTACCATATCGAAATTGGAGATCGAACGAAACTCTCGAAAACTTATCATCAACAACATACTTGACTAACGGCAATATTACACTTGGTTTAATTGATTAAGTTTAACCATCTCAAACTCAACCATTTCACAACGACCACCCTCTCATGTCAATATATACGTAGGAAACTTGCTCTGAACAATTATGTTTGCTAGTTAGTCGAAATCTTCCCGGATATGAAGTCTATTTTGCTTTGGCATGTGAAGTTCTTGCATTCATATTGAGTGCAGTACCCATTGAAAGTGATGAAAGCCACACAGTTTAAAAAGTCCCAAAATATCTAATCTCTTTCAATTCAAAATTCTTCATTGTGTCTTTGCATATATATGCTCTTGCAACGACTTACATTGACTACATTTGGAAAATGGTTCATTGTATTTCCTAGTAAACTTGCATTATTGAATTCCATTTTCAGTGTGTAGTACACTTTTGTAACTATTGTTGGTTTGATAAACTGGTTCGACTGAATAATGATGTTAGGAAATTAAAGTGCTTGATATGGGTGTAGCACATGAGAAAACTTAATTTAATCCATTATCGTTTGATTGGAAGCACTTTAGATGGAAATTCAGCTCATTTTTACTAATTTACAGCATAGAATTTGGAATGAAAAAATAATTGAACTCATCAATATTGCCTCAGTTCAACCTCCCCAAATTTGGTATTGGAAAATGGCTGCCGAGATTCGATGCTTGGTTGGATCACAGTATTTTGCGTCGTGTGTGGTATTGACCATCGACGTGAACGGAGAACCAAATTCACAGATCACGGATACTATTTAAACATCAAAGTAATGCAAATAATGCATGTGCGGTTGAGTTCTTTCTACGTGATGGTTCATTTGCACCCATGAAATTGAGCAGCAGCAGCAGCAACATGCATGAAGGCTTGTCTTGCTTGACGTGTCATGACGTATGTAGCCAGGATGTGCCAAGCGCAGAACTATGCACAATGTTGATATGGGGCGGTTGCAAAACCAATCGTTAGCAACAAACCCAAAAGTTGGCGATAGTCTTCCAATGTTCTTGCGTTCACTCATTGGAGTGCTCATTTCCAAAACCTGAACTAACTCTTATTCAATTATTCCAATTTCCCTGATTGAATGCCATAAATGGCTGTGTTTTTCATTTGTTTGAGTTTCTCTATGTAAAGCTTCAGCATTTCATTGAATCAACAGACAAAGTGAATTGGCAAGGCACTTGATATGGCATAAATCCAAACTTCAAATCTGAATTAATATCATTATTTTTCAATACACATGAATGAAATAACTCAAAATCAGGTTACTGAACAAATCAAAATCGATTCACAAATTTAACATTGTATATCGACTGCAGATCGTTTACTTCGACTCACAACTATTAATCAAACTATCATAATTCTACGTATAGAGATAAGATCTTCAACGTAACGAACTGCTTATGCATATTGGCTACAATTCGTACTACAGTAAATTGTACTTGTGCTATTCAAACCATCCATCACAAAATAAATCTCATTTCTATGGAATGGTCAAAATTGAATTTATTCTGTTTCATGATCGATCCGAATTACCATAGTCTGCAAGCATTTTTCAACCTTTGTATTATGCTGTTTGAGAACAAGAGCACGACTGGAGCTGTAACAGTAACGAAAAATAGAGAATGAGGAATGAGAAAAGGGAATTTCCTCCAATAAATTGGTACTTCCTCTTACATGAGTGTCCTGGTGTATGTGTGTATGGATGAGCGGGTTTGTCTGTGTATTATTCCAAACCGGCTAATATGGATAATATGCTGTGCATCTAAGCGCAATCTTCCTATACTATCGCAGAATCTATGTGATCATTCGAACATGAAATCCGCTACTTAATTTCGCACACACTCTAACACACGGAAATGTAATACAATTTTCAAGATAATGCATGTCATGTGATATATGCGATTAGATGGGAATGCCGGAGAAACAGTGACGCAAAAATGGGAGTAGGAAAAATTGTCAAGAAAATCTCGACATCGAGTGTATGAAAAGTTTTCAAGTAATCATTTCACAACATTGCACATACACTCGACAACGTTGCTGCTTATATCACACATACAATCGAATTTTTTTTTTTCAACAGCGGTAATGCTTCGCCTACGTGCTGAACCAACGAAAATTTCGAAATGGTGAAGCGTTTTTGTGTTGTGCAAGCACAATGCTGGAATTATGTTATTATCATCACAATTGCCACTCTTTCTCCTTGCATATCGCTTGAGTACGCACGAATTAGACGACGTTGGCATTGAGCAAACGGAAAGAGTAGCAGCATAGACAAGCTGGGCTAGATGAGAAACAGGAACAGAATAAAACAGCTACTACCATTTTTTTGGCTTGAAAAAAAAATTGTAACAAAAGCAAACTCTATTCATGTTGTCAAAATGTGTTTTCGTGAATCAAACACATGTTTGAAAAGATAAAACGGCCCGGGTAATAAAAACACAGTGTGCTCTGCTGCACAACTAGCAAAAATTATATCGTCGTCAATTTTTGTAAGTCGCCTTTCTCACTGCGCATTAAACGCTTTGGATGACATTATTTTAACATATTTTTAATGCAGCGATGTACACGTTATACTATTCTATTAACGGGCATTTGAAATTCAAGAACGAGATAAAAGCTTTAGACAGAAACGATTAAAATTGTCAGCCTAAGACTTATACATCTATCAATTCAATAATTGTTCGATGCCATGATATCGTTACCAAGAATTTCATTTCATTTCAGTTGTTTTTCTTGAATCTTCAATTCGATATGAATATACATGGATGTGTACAATATTTAGTTGCATATGTATATGACTCGATTGGGTTACGCTTTTTGCTTGACAAATTCAGTTAAGATAATTTCGACGAGTTGGAAGCAATCTTGGTTGATGCATGGAATTTTATCGCCTTTCATACAATACTCCCATATGATGTGAATGCGACAACTGATATTGAGCGCAATCGCCACCGGGATAATATAAGGCTAATGACAATGCAGTAAAGTAAATTCTCTATTTTGTCGAACTTCATACTGAAATGTAACACACTGATATTGCAAATCTTATTGGATTTATTATTAGGCGCCACCGTCAGTGGAGTTCCAAACAAATATAGAGCGTAAGCCCACCGCGATAGTCTCGATCATTAAACGTCAAAACAACAACGCCACGCATTTTGACGGGAACTACATTGATGGATGTATTCAATGCAGTGTCAAACATAGTCGTCATTGTGTTGTGTGGTGAAACAATAATTATTATTTGAATTTTAAATAAATAAAAATGTTTCGATTCTGCCAAATAAAATTGTGCAAATATGCCGCTGGTACACAAGACAAAAAATTACTTTCTTTCTTTCTAAACCCGTATTTAATTTTTTTTTCATTCTCAATTGAGTTGTATGAGAGAAAATTACGGTTTTATATGATATATTGGAGTTTAGATAATTAAAATAACACAAAATGTTAGATTCAAAATAAAAACTGGTTCGTGGCAGAATTGTTTTTTTTAATTTTGCAGACCATACTGAGAAAACGCTTGCGTTCGAACAGAAAACTACACAGAAACATAAGGTTGTTTTCACGAAAACCAAAGAAATGAATTTCGATGGTAGATTCTGTCGCCTACAGAGTAAAGAGAACGAATTTAAATTTCACATGGATGACCTTATTCGCATTGATAAAGAATAGACAATGCTAATCATAAGTTTGATGCGTTCGATTTGGACACTTCCAAAATTAGCTTCCCGATGCAATGGCATCATGTGATGCAGGGTAATGAGATCGTCTAAAACAGGCTAATAGAATGTTGGAAACATTTTCGATGCACTCAATTAGGTTTAACGCTCGGAATTGTGCATTGTTGCCAAAACTCAATTGAATTTACCGAAATTATGTGTCGGGCAAATCGGGCAATAAATGGAAAGCATGTATTCAACAAAACTATGCAACTTTTATCCATTCATTGACCGTGTTCTCTGTTTCGTTTCAGATCGAGGGAAAACCGCATCAGTTGGTTGCAACCACTTCATACTACGATTATATCTTCACAAATAAGCGTACACCCTGTGCGGTGCCATGTGGAGAGAAAATATCATGTGGCAAACGGTTAACGGTAACCCAATTATCAGCATTGTGAAAATGCATTCGCCGCACAAAGCATCAACATGTCACTTGCCAACGAAAATCGTCAGGAAAGAACAATAAAAGCACATAAACTAAACAAACGCAACACAATCGAATTATTTGCGTGTAGCATGCTGCATTGATATCGCAACAGAGAGCATCACATCCGCACACTGCATTTGCAGCAAGAGCAAAAAATCATGCGAGGAATATAAATTTTGCTTAAATTTTTTTTGTGCATACTAAAAGCGCTAGCTTCAAAGAGAGAGCATTCAACCAACGGAACTAGCTAATAGACGCTTTTGCTATTGCAAACAATATTACGGCAACGAAACGGGAAATCTAGTTAGTTCGTCAATGAAACTAATTGGCAATTCTGTGCGCTCTTACAATCCATATCTCCCTCTCCATCGCCAAATGAAATTCAAAAGACACACAGCATAAACTGAACAAATAATAAATTTATGGTTCTGATGACAAAATAAAATTAATTCAACGGAATAACCATTTTGTGGGCTAGACTATAACTTTCACAACTAAATTGAAGCTGAGTGAAATTATTTGGTGTCGTGAAGTATCATCGTCAAAGTATTTGTTGAAAATTTCATTTCAAAGTTAGATTCTGCGAAACACAATTGAATTAGGACAGAAAAAAAGGCTTCACCATGAAATTAAATCTCTTAAAAATTCAACAACAAAAAACTGACAATTAAATTTCGACGAAAATTGGAACCTTTCTGTATGTAATAAAGACGATTAAAATAAATCACCCTCAACGAACAAAAAAAAGCACAACTTTAAGTTAAAAGCGAGAAAAAAATCCACTACTGCCGATGAAATTGCCAATAATAAAAAAACGGTGTAAAGTGAATTTCAAAGAACACAATCATAATTGTGCAGTAAAGTACTTAGCGTGTATAATGGTGATGTAAAATATATTCCATTCAAAAATTGCATTTAAATATACATGTGAATTGCAGCAAATACATAAAACTGCATATGCATATTATTATCGTGAATAAAAGCCAAAGCCGCGGAGCAAATAACAAAAGTAAAAAATAATACATTTAAATCTCAAACAATGTGCACGCTGATAACTGAAAAAAAGCATAAATAAATTAAATTTATTTTAATTGCAGACAACAGCCACAGCCACACAAAAAAACCGTTTCGAATAATAAGTGTAGGTTGGGGTATTCACAGAGTCAAATACAGAGCGATTAAGAGATAAATACGCATTTAACAGTATAAAAAGCAAACTTATTGGCCAAAGCGTTCGGAAACACAGAATCATCACCGCAGCCACTGCCACCGCCGCCACCATGAAGGGAAAATACAAAATCGGATGGGCGCTTTTTTTATTTAGCATTTTAATGCATTTCAAAACGATCCAGCTATCAAGTAAGTCCAATTTATATGTTTACTCCAAAAGATTTTCGCATATTTGATTTGTGTTTGTTGTTGGATTTAAAATATTGCTTTTGGTTTTTTTTTTAATTCAAATGTTAATTTATGTCGATAAACACAAGTTTTCAATAGCATTAAACGGTCCAGTCTTGACATAACACAGGGCTATTCTTCTGCACGTAACAGAAACGACAGTCATAATTTTAGGTTTTTCTTCAATTGAGGATGATGTATGTATGTTTAAATCCCTTTTTTTCATTTGAAACTCGAATCATAAAACATCGGATGAGGGTGATTCGCATCTCGAATTTGGTTTTTATGTTAAAGTATTAGTGAACATCGAGAGTAAATTTGGGAAATCTCCAAAGGACATTAAATGATGTATTTGCGTAATAATTTTGAAACGACGCATACCAGCTCTCAGAATTCAAAGGAAGCAAACTAAAAAACATATAGTGTAAAACATCAGTTTGCCTCCTTTGAATTCTGAGAGAGTTTCTATGACAATATACGAATTAATTAACAATTTGGATATTTTACATCTCGCAATGGTTTTAAAACCAAAATGTACATATCCCAATTATAAGCGAAAAATTTGCAATTAATGTTACCGCTTGACTTGAGTACATTTCGATTTGAATGAGTATGAAAATCGCGTCCCAATCGGGATAATTCATGTGCATAGATTCTGACATAGTCTGACCTCGTTAATCCTGATCCCTGCTGGCGAAATTTGACCCCCAACAATTTTTTTCGGACCCATTGTCATTTTCCGACTTTGTTTTCAAAAGTGAGGATCTTTTTTTTTGCTCCTCACTTTTGCTCCTCACTTTTGCCTCCAAGGGATCATTAAACACTAGATAGAATCGATTTTTTTGACCCCCAAAGGAATTTTTGGTTTGACCCTACCTGCAATTTTTGGTGTCAGAATGTATGTTCATGTGTGTTAATAAATTGCTTCAAACGTGAAAATGTTGAGGTTTTGCTGGTTTATCTTGGATATGATGCGTTCATTTCATCACATATTTTGTTGACGCATGATAAAAGATTATTGTTTTAAATTCATAATTTTAACGAATGAAAAAGCCACATTTCAAGCTACAGTTTGGTTTTCAGTTTCGATTTTTCCGGATGGATCCAAGCACATTGGTGAAGATATGTGGTGATGGCACGGTGGTCAGATGTTGAAAATGCGAAAATTCTTATGATTAAATTGGCAACTTTCCCGATTTTGATCGAATTGTGATAAATCCAAATTGAATCGAAAACATTGATTATTAATTAGGGAACATGTGCGAAATTTCATTGAAACCGGCGGATTTTCGATCTTTTTTTCTCGACTGATTCAATGATAAAGTTCATCAATAATTCGCGCCTACGACCAAATATTTACGCTTCGACATTTCGACAAAGAGCCACATTGGCCAGAAGCTGATAGCAAAACCACTCACAGCAATCAGCTGCACGATTGGCTTTCTAAACATGTCTGTGGGCTTTATGGCGACTTTCGAAAAATGGCTGATATGTCAGCCTGTATTTGCTCAAACCTTTGACAGAGCAAAAGCGTATGAAAACACACACGCACAAACACGGTGGTAACACGGTATCGGCAACCAGAATAAATCGTGATGAAATGCTAATGATAGTGGAAAAACATACAAAATTGGAGAATAGAGAGCAATTATTATCAGTCGAATGGAACGAGTTCGAGATGTGTTGGGTATGGTTGTAAGCCTCAGAGTCGCCTCTATCATATCGCCGGATTTATAATGTACACGTGTGCGGTCATGTACCTAACCCGACTGAACGTGAACTGTGTGTATATGCCATAGCATAGCATGGAATTCACTAGGCACAGTCGTCCACCAATTTTGCCAACTTTGATGTGATCCGAACCCGGTGTGCGAATCGAATAAATTTTTGCAGGTGCAGGTAAAACCGTTCGCGACGCATGTTTTCTCCTAAATTAATTAGTGCACGACTGGCATTATTATATGAGAGTGTGATAATAAGCAATGTTCGACAAATTACGATTGTTTGTCGGCACCAGCAAATTCGGTTTAGTGTGTGTGTGTGTGCGTGAGAGGTTTTGATGCACTCGTGGGAATTTATTTTTATCGTACGTCTAACGAAATGACGCCCGCTGAAATCGACCTTATGATTTCTCATTAGCACGAAAGGCCATTGAATGAATGTGCTCGATTCACCTGTTTGATGCTAAGCACTTAGCAAACGAAGCGATAACGACGAATTAATACAACGCCCTGTGTATAGCAATTGTCTGCAATGTCGAGGAAAAATGGTTATGATTGAGCCAGATTTGATACACGTTCAATCACATGAACACCAATTGCCCGGGGAGTTGGCAAATAATGGCTCCGTTTTGTGTGTGCAATGTGTATTGAATGGTGGCCGAAAGACGAACGTGCCAAAGGTGATTATATCATGAAATGAACCGTTAAACTGGTTTAACGAACCTTTCATTACTTCGGCGGCTAGTCAAATTGAAATCAAAACTCAATTCACTTCCTTTGGCCGATGGGAGACGATGAAATAGATTCATTGATTGCAAATCACCATATTTGATTGGGCATGTCGGTTTTCGGTGGTGTCTTAATTAACATTCATTCACACAGGTGATACACACAATTCAATTGCCAGATATCCGGCTCACGCATATTTTACTTGCACATTTTACATACGAGTGTTTTACACATGGACAAATGCCATTGGTTCAAAACGATAGAAATTGATCCATCTAATGAAATTCTTGTGTAACACACGAATACAGTTTCCCAGAAACAAATATGATATGTGTGATTTGAAATTCAGAATATGCAATTTTCACTTTGAATTTATATGCATTTCCCGAAAGCATAAGCCTATGCAAATATGGGATAAGAAATTTTCATTTAATTCGGCATGCGAACTAACGATGAACCAGCAAAATAAAAACACACGCAAACCTACGACTAAGTGGTGCACTTAATCTCAATTTCATCAGTGATATTTACGCAAAGTTCAAAACAGAAATAGAATTTTTAATTACTTTTCGTTGTGAAATGAAAATAGTTTTGCCATCATCAGCATCAGCATTCGTAGCATTCTCATTTTAATTTTGTCTGGTTAAGCCTTTTTGGAATGAAATTAAATGCGAGAGAGAGAGAGAGAGAGAGAGAGAGAAGGAAAGAGGAAGGGAGCTCTGGTGCGAAAGTGAGCGTATCGGATGAAACGAGAACGACATGTCGGAATGTTCAATTTGATGCGAAGCGAAATGAGTTGAATCATATCACATGAGCCATTTGCTGCATTGAACCAGGCAATTCAAAATGTGTGACACAAACATCTGAAATGATGATCGTAATTATGAATTTCAACCATTCACACACACCCACTTCATTTCGAGCTCTTCTGCATGATTATTTTTTATTAACAGCGGAAGGGCATGCACTCAAAAATACGTATGATGGAGAAAAGTCAAAGTAATTTTCATTTAAAATGCAAAGAAATAAATATTGAAAATATAGAAAACTTTTCCCATTAAAACTAATAGTCATATCTCACCAAGCATGAGGTAGTTTCACTCGGTATGGAAAAATAAAAACCGTGTACAGAAAAAAAAACAAAACATTTTCGAGAATTTTTTTATTGCCATTTTTTCCATGGAAAAAAAGAACGCAAATAAAATCGAATCGTTGCGAAGAAGTAGGCAAGTGGAGCAGTTGTGAAATGCCACACAACTGTGGTTGCATCTATAGAGAGTTAAGACAATTTTTTTCTATTTACTACAGCAAATGATGAAGATAAAAAAAGGCCATTGCATGGGCCATTGCATGGAACATTTCAAGTTGACTTAGCTCAAAACCTTGCTAGATGTAATTGCGAACAGTTTTGCAATGCACACATGCATCCACATGCGCTCGACAACTCGATTGGCGCATCATATGCCAAATGTGTGTAACGTGCACGGAAACCAAATAAGCTCAGAATAATAAGAAAAATACCAACGATATACATACACATGGATATTGAGTTTGCCTTGGCAATTCTTGTTCAACTCTCGTTTTCCGTTGCTCCTTCGTTTGCTCGCTCACTATGCTGCTTCCACTTTCCCTCTCTCGTCTTGGTCGCTCGGAAGTAATTGCACGAACGTTTGCCGGCGCTTCAAAACGAACAAACAAAAACCACTCGACAAGAAGAAATCGAATAAATAAAAAATGAAATAGTGATTTAGTTTGAAGTAAACGTGGTCGATGCAAACTGAGTAGGAAGTGCCACATGAAAAACGAATAAAAATTCAACCACGCACTCCATGAGATCGGAATTCTATTGGCTTTGGGTCGTGTTTCAGCGCGCAAATATATAGTTGCACTGGAATTCTCCATGATACACCGCATTCTTTTTTTTCTTCACAAAAAAAAATCAACTGAGAAGAAAAATAGTTTATGTATGAGCACGTTATTGTGATGAAGCTCGAGTGTAATAGCTCGATGTGAAATAACTTCCTGTTTACACAAAATCGAAATGATCAGTTTAGAAAAATGCTTTTGCGATTTCTTCGAATTGGTAAAACCGGAAATTATGTTCGATAAAATCGAAGAGCATGCGCTTCTAAAAGAGGTTCAGCTCAATGGAAGTCTGGAAAAAATCCCCTGATTCGCCTCAATATACATCGGTTGAAATGCGAAACGAGCACAAACAGTACAACGTGACACCAAAACTATGCAACACCAAACGAATGGAAGATAGAGCAGAAAAAAGCAGCGAAAACAAACTTTAAATAATATTACTTTATTTATCTTCATCTCTCAGTTTTGCCATTCCACATTGAGCAAATAAGAAATAAAAAAAATATGGGTAACAGGGAGAGAGAAGGATTTTACGATATCTCTTTCTCATAAAAACCACCACATACACATGACAGCGGAATGCTGCCACAAAAATGCAAGCATTTTATCTGAATAACTTCACCATATTTTGAAATTTCTCTCAAT